GAGATTCAGCAGCAAGATTGACACTGTTAGATGCTGAAACTTGCCTGCTTAGACAAAGTTCATTTTGCGAGCGGAACAAAAAATAATTCTTCATTTAAAATGGGTTCACGCAGAACTCCGGCAGTTTCAGCTTCGGTTACGCAAATTTCAGTCCTACGAAGGCGGAAATGGTGAAAGTACGAAGCCTTAAGGTCACACTCAGAAATGCGACAACTTAGGACAAAATACAGATAATTAATTTCAGTAAGGGATCGATCTAGAAAGAGAAAAAAAATCTCCCACCTGAGCAATCATGCCATTATTAGTCATAAATTAGCATGAAAACAGACTCCGATCAAAATAAACTTTACCGAAGGGCAATTTCAATCCAGTTTGCCTCTAAATTTTTTCTAGTCGGTGCCCTGAATAACAGCAGAAAGTATAAATGGGATTTTAATCAAGCTTTGAGACCACATGCTATACTTACAGGCATCCATCTAAGATGAGTACATAGAAGAAAGATAGACTAATACCACGCGTATGGATCAAAGAGTCCAAAATGTATAATGGCCCATGAAGGACATTCAAATCCCAAATGAACATTTATAGCCAACGCGCGACACTTCGGAATAGATAGTGTGTTAAACTAAGTAATGAGGTGTGAGTTGAATAAAGTCTACAGGTCATGTTTTGACACAATAAAGACGCAAAAGTAATGCTTGAATGTATGCTATTAATACTATTGGTAACGACAAAAGAATGGAAAATAGTGAGGTGTATTTGCAACAGAAAGGGCTTGCTGTAGTGTCAGGTTTCGTCACGGCATTTTGAAATTATACGTTTGATAACAAATATTCTGCGCATTATATTGCCCTTACCTTTCTCGTTGTTCTTGGGCTCGCCTTTCGTTTTCCTCCTTCTTACGCGCCTCGCGAATCTTCTTGTCAATGTCACGTAAGTGGGACTTTTTGGAACGTTTCACGGAAGCACTATCTGAGGAGGATGAACTCACACGACTAAAATATGAATTTGGACAGGAAAAATATACTTCCGACGACGATCTGATTTGTGGCTTGTGCGGTAAGATCGGTCAGTGACTCGGCTGCGTCGCTCTCTATCCTTATCCCTGGAATGGCTGCGGTCGCGATCTTTGTAACGATCCTTTGAAGGACTGTGATATTTCCTTCGCCGAGATCGCCTCCTTTCAGATGATGAACGACTGCGCGAACGCGCCATTTTCTTAACACTGACAAAGACAAAAGCTTAAATAAGCGCTGCCTGCCAAAAAGGACTTAGCCGGTGAAGCTTTAGGGTGCACGCGAGTGTAGACTCGACGGTCATCGGTGGTACAGGTCAGTATTCCTTGGCAAGTATCTGCATATGTATTTCGAGTTATTCGAAATTCTGGAATAACATGTAAGATTTATGGACCCATCATGACTCCACGAGGAAAATATTTTTACCCGGCAATTCTTACAACAAAGTTCACTCAACAGAAAATGCAATACAGTGGACCGCTTGAAACCGTACCAATTGTTGCCAATTGAGTAAGTTGCAGTTCAAATCCACAATCTCCACATTTTTGCGTCTTTTCTGTATTAAATGTATGGGTATTTGAACCAAAACCAACTACTGAATGTTCTAACGAAAATTATTGGTTGACTTAATTGTGGATGGATATGGTCCAAATCAAAAAGCATAAAAGCGTACAGCAAAACCTAATGGCAAAATGTCAACGATTTAGAACGATTTTACAACGAATGAACGAAAAAATCATACGATTTTCGTACGAAAAAATCGTATGTCAAATTTTATTTGGACAGCGGGA